TGTTGTCTGGTCCTGCTGCTTTGCCGCTTTTGATTTATCTGATAGCCATACTGATCTCCTCAATTGTAGGTGCGCCAATATTAATTGGGAGGTCCGTGGATGCTGCTTCGATGTTTAGTGTGTTCAGTGGAGCTGGTCGATATAAGCGTTCCTGAAAGTGCTCTACTCACCTATTTCGCTGTTCTTCAGTGTTGCTGATTATTTTCCCTTCCTTGCTTTTCACTGGTCGTTCTGGTTTACGATAGTTTCCGGCAAGCTTCTTTGTAGTTTCGTACAATTGTCTCAAGTTTCCGTCTCTTGCAGCCTTTTCCGCCGTCATTGCTATATCGTCCACATATTTTCGTTTGTCAGCTCTGATGCTCTTCTTCACTTCCCTGTTTGCTTCTGTTTATGCAGCTTGTGCGGTAATTTTCTCCGCTCTTGTTCGGCTAACATTGACTGTTGCCCTCTTGCTCCCACTTTCTTCAATTTTTCAAGAGTACTAACAGACATCCAATCGTTGTGATGGTGTTTATTGTGACCTGGAACATCCTGGGATGTTAATGTGACTGTCTCCTTAATCTCTTTCCAATTGTTCTCCAATGTTGCTTCCTCTCCATTGAGTAGATCCTGAAAGGCCTGGAACCTATTGGTGAGGGCTATCCTGAATTCGTTGAGCTTTACAGTATCCCGAAGAAAGGCCGTATTAAACTTCTGTGATGTTGTCTGCCCCGTTGTCCAGTGCTTTTTTAGTTTCAGTCCCATTTTGGCGACCATCAAGTGGTGATCTGATTCTATATAGGCTCCTCTCTTGGTTCTCACATCCTGCATAGTCCTTCTGAACGTTTTGTTGATACAGATATGGTCAATTTGGTTTTGAGTAGTGTGGTCCGGTGAAATCCATGTAGCTTTGTGAAAGCGTTTGTGCGGGAAAATTGTGCCACCGATGACCAGTTTGTTGAAGGCACATAGGTTTGCAAATCTCTCACCATTTTCCTTCCTTGCTCCCAGTCCATGTCGTCCCATGATGTCTTCATATCCAGTGTTGTCCATGCCAACCTTGGCATTCAGGTCTCCCATTAGAATCGTCAAATCCTTTGGTGAGCATCTGTCGACGATTGACTGCAGCCTTTCTTAGAATTGATCTTTAATGTCGTCATTGTAGTCATTGGTAGGTGCATAGCATTGGATGACGTTCATTGTAATGTCCTCTTTCTTTGTTTTGAAGGATGCTTTAATGATCTTGGGTCCATGAGATTCCCATCCTATTAGTGCCTTTTGTGTATGTTTGGACAGCATCAGTGCAACTCCTTGTGTATGTGAAGCATTTTCCTCTTCATGACCAGAGTATAACAGAAGTTCCCCTGAAGCTAGTCTCAGTTGTCCTACCTGTGTCCAATGCGTTTCACTGATGCCGAGCACCTCGAGGTTGTATCTTTTCATTTCTGCCGCAACTTGAAATAGTCTTCCAGTCTCCCACAATGTACGAACGTTCCATGTACCTAAAAAAATGGTTGCTCTGGTTGTCAGAAGAGGCATCGGCCCCTAGACTTCTGAAGGAACTCGGCTTTCAATACAAGACGTTACAATTCTTCTTCCAACTCCCAGGGCAGAGTTAAAATGGTTTGAATTATTTCTTCTGGTTAGCGTTGTTTTGGCAAGTTAATTTATAGATGGGATGAGGTACCAGCTTCATGTCCAATCCCACCTCCTTTATCCGGGCATGGGACCAGCATTTGCCCCTAAGGTTCTACTGGCGGAGTTAAAAGCATTTGTATATCAACCCTTAATTGGAACAACCCACTCATAAAAGTCTTGGTAGCATTTGCTTCCACGGCCTGATCACTCAAAAATCCACTAGGTGTAAGCTCAATTCACCATTCGGTCGGTTGGTTTCTTGTTCAGTTTGAACCGCCTTCCTTTGTGTCCTATCTTACAGAGATATATCAGGACTGAAAACGACACATATCGAATTTCTCGTCATTTTAGACTCTCAGAATAATATATTTCTGACATTGTAGGTTCACTCCATTTAGCAGGCATGATTATTTCGATACACTAACACTCCCCCTAAGTGATTACAAATATGGTAGATTCCCATCAAATTTCATAGTTTGTGAGCGGTTCACTGGATGGTGTTCAGGGAGATTCACTTCCAAAGTAGTTGTATGATGGGACGTTTTATAATTTTTAGAAAATGTCAATTGGAATAATAATATACCGGTTTAAAGTACACTTTTTTATCTTTATTTTCAGTTCTGTAATCTCTTCCAATATACTGCTTGTTGACGAGATAATGCGAGCTGGAATGAGTTCTCTCAAAGGTTAAATCCTCGTTCTAACGAATTCGTTAAATAAATTTGTTTTTCTGCCCTTTTGTGTTCCGTCTTCGAGTAATTTGCCAATTTTTAATTCAAGTCTTCACAGAACTGTGCTGATCGTTTGTTAGTGATAGTGATATTCGCCCCAAAAACAGACACTCTTCAATGGTCAACAATTCTGTAATCGAAGTGTTCGAGATACCTCGTCATCTTATAGTCATAAGCGATATAAGCTAATACTTGCAACCAGTAGGTTGTACCACGCGACTATACCAACATTGCTGCTTCCATCGTTGGATATCCGTATTAGTATGCAGCCAGGAAACGTTCACTAATTTAAAATGCTGTTCTTGAAGATAGGACTAATTACCGATGTTCGATCATAGGTGCCTTCGAAGCATTATTCCTGTTCTCTGAGACTGCTGAGTATGCGATGCCGGTCTTACCAACTGAGGTAATTGAGACTTGTGTTACGTATGACCAACAACTTCAAAGGTCAGTGTTGTCCCACGTAAGTGTAAACTGGGAGAAAGCTAGGGGTGGCGAGACCGAAACACGGCACAAATCGATAAACTCATTGATGACTTGACTCAGTTGTCTTATTGAGTGCAGACGACCGGGTCGTGGCTCGCGAGACAATAAAAACCCGTGTTAAGGGGCTGTCTGACTAGTTATGTCACGACAACAAGCTTCCTAATGGAAGCTTGATCTGATAACGTTCGTTTCATGGGGGCCACTAATTCAAAATTCTCCAGTTTCGCTATTCATACCTTAAGACTCAAAGAAGGTGATTTAAGTAACACGAGAGCTTGCGCAGTTTGCGGAAAAGATATATCCATGGTTATGTTCTTTCAAATTCTAACTTTATGAAGTATATTTCTTGAATAATATCTATCCCTAATATTCTCCATTACCGTTAATTCTTCTAATATCTCTACCATTATGGAATTCACACTGACAGTTGTATCTCTGTGCTAATTTGGTATGGCAGCCTGATGTGGTGTATGCACGTACGAAATTCCACGTTAAAACTGACTCACTAAGGTTACCTATTGACAATTGCCCATTTCACAGAAAATATCTTCGAGAGCAATCTGTTTCGCCACTTGTACAGAAATCAAAGTCCTGATATTGCTACTAAGAGACAAATGATGTATGGTTGTCTGATATCTAATAAGTTTCAGTGCTAGCTGATGTGCGAATCGGATTAATGCAACCTAGTGAGAAGGTTCGTAAGCAAAATTTGTGTCGATCAACTGAATAAGCACTATCCAGGTGGCGGACTAATATAACAGTAAGGAAATAATACTAAACATTATCTGTGGCTCGTGTCAATAAATATCTACAAACCCTGGTTTCTTAGACAATATAGGTGAAACTCATACTGGTCGCTAAAACGAAGAATAAATTCAGTAAGGCAGTCTGCATATTAGGGAACATAGCAATGATGAAAATTTTACTGTTTTATCTCGCTTACTTGTATGAGGTTACGAATGAACTCCCTTTAAATGCAATTTATCATGTCTACTTCCATTCGGATCTCTCGGTAGGGAACGAAACCAGTTGAAGTTTACAAATATGAGTCGAATACATAGTTTACATAGAAAAGTAACCTCAGCATCATTGACTAGGTATATTCTGCTCAATCTTATGGCAACATATAAGTTCATACTCAAACGTTGGTATTATCTTGATGTCAAGCATAAGTTCACAGGAGATTTCGTTGTTCGTCCTACCCTAGAACTACCTTTAGGAGTCTATACGGTTGAGATTCAACATTTTTTTCAGTCACTCTACCAATTCTGATCATTTTTTATCTGAACTCTTGTACAGTTATCATATTAGAAGGAAATCAAACCTTTCAGTAAGTTTTGTAAGAGGCAGGTTTCAAACGGGTAGACCTTGTGGAACCACAAGTTACTTTCATCGCCATTCGTTCCTTTATCTAAAGGAAAACAACAATTTCGCTGTCCAAATTTTTAAGTTCATTCAGCAATTGTAAGTTGACTTAAGGCTGAAAAAGTCAAGAGAATGCACAATATTCTAACTACTATGTGAATCGACGGAGATAAATAACACAAAGCGAATTTTAAAAAATGTCACAGCTTTAACCTGGATAGTTCAAGTTAAAACAGATCAAGAAATCTTTCGATACAAGAAATAAGGAAAATGACATGTGATTCGCACCGAGTATGGCAACCACTTTCCCTTTTAAAATGTGCGTGTAGGACTTTTTTGAAAGATGAGAAACTGATTGCAAAATGATAACCATATGAAAATATGAGCATCAAATGAAAGATTACTTGTGAATTTAATCAAAGGATTATTGAAAGAAGTTTTCAACATAAAAATATGTTTCAGGTATACAGGAAAATTGACCTCTATCTTCTAAGCCTAATCATTTCATTGAAAAACGCAGTATTGATAAAAAATGTGGCCATTCAGTCCGGCACTCCTAGAAGCACAGTGACTGTGCAAGACAAAATATAGCTGTCACTGATAGACTATACGGTAGAAAAGGAAGGGGTATAATTAAGATCGTAAACGAAATGAATGATTTTAATCATATGAAAATCGAAATTCATAATGAATCTGCAAGTAAAGGCACTGAAAACTGCTAACTTTACATTCATATAATGACCAGATCTCAAAACGCCAATCTCTACATCCAGGGATTTTCCAGCTTATTCACACTAAGACATGCAAAAGAATCTCGTAGAAGTTGAACGTGAACTTATTCTTGATAGTATTCGAGAAGTTCGTGTATCTTTGTGGCTGTTTAAATGCTGATGGTGTCTTGAGTGATAAGATCAATCCACGTAAAAAAATTCAAAGTGACTCATGATAATTTGGGTCATTTTCGGTGCCTTCATTATGTTAGACTGTCTGTGAAAGGCCGGACCAACAATGCATCGGCTTGTTTGAGAAACTTGAACTTTCCAAACTGAGGACGTTTAGCGATTATTGTTATCTCCAAAAGATTGATGAAATTCTGCCCGTACACTGAGTTAGTTCGGCGGAGATTCACGATAATGAATTCTGGTGTAATGGCCCTGTTTTTTTAGATATCACTTAGTACAGTGTTTTCGAGATGCTTTCAAATAATTCATTATATTCGAACATAAAAATAACGTGATAACCTGCTAATATCTATGATATTATGACTGGAAGCACACTCACAGCATCATCTACCAGAGCACATCGGACTCACTAATGAGGATGCCAGAGGTGAACGATGCTTTTTTCCGTAACACCTAGCAGATCAGTTGAACGCAAGGCCAAGTGAAATCAGAAGTCTTGAATGAGCAGGATCGAAGATATATTTAAGTGATAGTTGGAATTTAGACGAGCGAATAAACCTAGCTTGCTAGACGATGAAACGAGATTCGTTGCACGAGGTTCCCGACGGTAATCGGGCGTGGACGCGTGACTGAGCACCTTCAGCTGGATTTGTTCAGTAAAATCAATGGATTCAGCAGCAGCGTCGACTGATAGAACTATTTATTGTGGGAAATTATTTACTACTGAAGGCAAATATATGATTTCCTACAAACCGCTTCCCATTTTTCTCTGGTTCCTTATAAGAAAACAGGCCTTTTGTGTTTCTTCTGTAATCCTTATGCAAATTTAGTTCTTAGTGATTTTTGTGCTTTCGTATTAACTGTGCTCGAAGTATTCCTTTGTCTGACCAGGCACTTAGTAATCGAAATTTCTTTTCACTCTTGTTTTGGGTAGAAGTCGTAGTTGAGCCTTAGCGGACAATTTTTTGGTATCAGTCAGACTAAAAAGTAATTTTTGCATACAAATTCTTGCTCATCTAAAAATCCGCTTCAGTAAAGAATCCAGTCGTTCAACCTATTGAGGATGCTGTTTGCGATTTTATGGTACATACGATTTCATGCGATCGATATTAACTGAGGTCTATCCGTCGTTGTCAGCGGAAAGAAGTTAAATGTTAACGTTGCTCAGAACTTCTTACTCACGGGGAGAGTGTAGTTGGGTTTAGTTAAGCTATTCCCATGATGCGTAGATGTAAATTCTAGCAACGAGGATTCACAGTCCCGGTGATACATTTTACATCTCCTATTAGATCAACCACTATAATTAGGCTGACAAGATTCTGTTCAGACGAACTTTCGGATAGCATAATTCTTGAATTCTCCCAGCTCATAGTCAGTGGGTTGAAGTCCTAAAAAATTAAACATCGATCACTAGAAGATTAAATAATACCTTCAGCTGACATATACTTACTTTCTTACACCTGTTACCCCCAATGGAGCATAGGCCGCTCACCAGTTTTCTCCAACCAACTCTGTCCTGGGCTTCTCTCTCCAGTTCTGTCCAATGTTTGTTCATTCCTCTCATATCTTTCTCTATTTCTCGGCGTAATTTGTTCCTTGGCCTTCCTCTTTTCCTTTTGCCTTGAGGGTTCCATGTGAGGGCTTGTCTCGTGACACAGTTAGGTGCTTTCCGCAATGTGTGTCCTATCCACTTCCACCGCTTCTTCCTGATTTCCTCCTCCACTAGAATCTGGTTTGTTTTCTCCCACACTAAGTTGTTGCTGATGGTGTCTAGCCAACGAATCCGAAGTATTTTGCGTAGAGAGCTGTTAATAAACACTTGTATCTTCTGGATGATGGCTTTGGTAGTTCTCCATGTTTCCGATCCATACAGTAGAACTGTCTTCACATTTTTATTGAAAATCCTGATTTTTGCTGAAAGTTGTTTGGAGTTCGAGATATTTTTCAACTGTAGAAATGCAGCCCTTGCTTTGCCAATCCGCGCCCTCCCATCTGCATCTGATCCACCTTTCGCGTCGATGATGCTGCCCAGATATGTAAAGGTGTTAACGTCCTCCAAGGCATCTCCATCAAGAGTGATTTGGTTGGTGCATGTTGTGTTGCATCGGAGAATTTCGCTTTTTGCTTTATGTATGTTGAGACCTGGTGCTGCAGGGGCTGCTGCTACACTGGTCGTCTTCTCTTGCATTTGTTGTTGCGTGTGAGATAGAAGAGCCAGGTCATGTGCGAAGTCCAGATCGTCCAGCTGCGCCCTAACTGTCCAGTTGATACCGTGCTTCCCTCCAGACGTCGACGTCTTCATAATCCAGTCGATCACCAGGGGAAAGAGAAAGGGTGAGGGTAAGCAACCTTGCCTGACAACAGTCTTCACCTCGAAAGAGTCTGTTAGCTGTCCATCGTGTACGATTTTGCAGTTGAATCCATCATAAGAATTCCGTATGATGTTAACTATTTTCTCAGGCACCCCGTAGTGTCGAAGAAGCCCCCATATTGTTGTTGAAAGAAGAAAGAAGAGTGATGCCTGTGTAGTTCTCACACTTGCTGAGATCGCTCAGCTGACATTTGGACTGTGATAAATCAATCAGTAGCTGCTAATCTTTGTATTACAAGGAGATATTGAAGGCAGCTTTCCAAAGTTAGGCTTGAATCGATTGCGATCACAAAATCTGTAACAGAATTCTATATTCTCGGTTGATGTCATTGTATACTGTCAGGAGATGACCTTGACAGTCCCAGTGTTAGCACGTGAAACCGGTTATAAACCGGTTTTGAGACAGACATAAGGGACCGATCTATCGAGTGATTGACCTTTTTGTTCTCTATAAATCTCCATCGCTTAGGAGACAGTTTGTAAGTCATTTCTAAACATTTTGACTTAGTCTCATGACTTAGATGAGTTGCTTTATTTTATGAATTTCGTACACATAAAAGGTTGTTTGATACTTGCTAATATGCTTTTGAACTTTCTCCAGTTAAGTTATGACTATTTCTGTGGATGTTTGGATATATATTTGTCGTGCAAAAGATCATTTACATAATCAAGAACCGACATACGCCAGCGTTCATCACGTAATTGTAGTAAATTTCTGAACCAGTCTTCCACCTGTGAGCCATCAAACGGCTGTTGTCTTAATCTAATGTACACGAGATGTTACGTAAACCAGTTTGTCAGTAGAAATGATTTCTAATACGAATGTTGATCGCAATATTTAAGTTACAGCGTTGTAGTTTGTCTGAGTTCGTTCCTAATCAGACCTTTCACATCTCTGTAGACCCAAATATAGAACTGTGTCACTCGACGGTTGTATAAAAATTTAGTGATCCTACTGGAAAACTGCTTGTAATAACTGCAGTTTGGTTATAGTAATGAACCGTTGCAAGGTCCACAAAGTTTTAACATTCATGAAGTGCTGTCAATGCGTACACCGAATGATCAACCATTTGGTTTTTCACTTCATAGGTCTGTCGAGTTTTGTGTTCCTTGGGTATACAAGCTGTATTCAGTATGGCCACTCGTAATCCACAAATATTGTAATTAGGCAACGACCTGTAGGTCCGTGTACCGTACTTCAGGCTACTTATCATATGAACATTTAAAGCGATCCATTAACTCCGGCGACTAACCGGCTTCTTAAACTAAGTTGATTATGTCTTAAACTTGATATTCAGTTTTAGAAGTCTGAGTGCTCCGAACAGTCAGTTATCATAACCTTTGTGGTCTCATATTTTTACCAGTTTATAGCACTAGGTCACTTGTAAGAATTTTATCTTGATTACCAGGTTGAATCTCAATAATTTATCCTGGGTAAAAATGCAAATGTATTACAGTTTGTAAGTTATTCAATTACCATTGATTGTGTAGTAATAAAGGATTATAAGTGATTGTGTGTCAGTCTACTTTGTTTTGCACTGTCTTTTTATTCATTTCTACAATTGTTTGGAATTCTGTAACTACATTTCAGTCAGTGCTTACTAAAATCTATTTTTAAAGTACCCATTATACATATTGCAATTAGCAATACTAAAAATGGGATATTTTTAAATAATTCCCAATAAGCGGAAAGTTTTATATTATCTTTTTATCAAGATAGATCACATCGCCAACAACCACCGATGGAGAGGTTCGATAGAGGACTATCGCTCATTCTGGGGCACATGTTTGGATTCAGATCATGCCCTAGTGCGAGCGCGTATTTGTTTGAGGCTTACTGAACGTACGAAAGACAAAGCGAGGAAACCCCTTAGGGTTCTACTTAATGATAACAAAGCTAAGAATATATTTCAAGAACAACTAGAAAAACAGTTAGGCGACCATGTAAGCGATTCCCATTCGGAAGCGGGTTGGAATGATATCAAAAAGGCTGTGGAAACAGCAGTGATATCTGCTAGTAAGATCAACCATAAAGCTAGAATGAAGCTGTGGATCTCAGCAGCATCCATCGAGCTGATGGGTGTTCGAAATTTCATCCCACCTGGCTCTGAACATAATGAAGAACGAAGTCAGCTTACAAAAAGCCTGCGCAACAACCGTAAACAGTGGTGGTGGCGAAAGCAAAAGCGATGGAAAAGGCACCGGCGATAGGCAACAGTAGGCAACTATTCAGACTCATCAAGGAGACTGGTATTAGGAGCCCTAATGTGAGTGAGACTATCTCGGAAAAGGGTGGTTTTATTATCCATTTTGAATCCAGGAGACTGGACCGATGGGCAGAACACTTTAGGGATCAGTTCAACTGGCCTTCAGCCACTCTTCGGTTGCCCACGATCTCCAGTCATCCTGAATAGCAAATCGACGTAAGTCCCCCTAGTCTTTATGAAGTTGAAAAAGCGATATCTGAAGCGAGGGAGAGCAGCGGGTCCTGATATACTGACACCTGAGATTTTTAAGGATGTTGGTCCAGTTTTAGCAGCTAGATTGACTAAGATCGTAGGTAGAATCTGGGAACTGGACGTAATCCCATCCGACTGGTCTCAATCGCTGATTGTCCCAATCTATAAGAAAGTACACAAGTCTTATTGTGACAATCACAGGGGAATAAGTCTAACTAATATAGTGTCTAAAATATTGACCTCAATAATACTTTGACGCTTAACGAAAGCTCGTGAAGAGCAGACTAGAGAAAATCAGGCTGTTTTTCGACCTGGACGTGGTTGTATAGACCACATCTTCACACTACGACAGGTCCTGGAACACAGACACACATTTAGGCGTCCGACAATAGTTGTCTTCCTGGAATTTAAGGCGGCATTTGACTCTGTAGATCGTGAGGTTCTGTAGCAGTGTCTGTCATTGAAAGGTGTACCAAAGAAGTACATTAACCTTATACAAGCTCTCTACTCGAACACCACTGGTCGAGTGAGGGCTTATGGTGAACTGTCACCGGAGTTCTATACTTCAAGTGGTGTCTGTCAGGGATGTCCACTTTCCCATTCTTGTTTAATTTTGTCATAGACATGCTCCTAGAAATAACCTTATCGTCGTCTGAATTTTCAGGAGGAGATCTTTTACCAGGTGGCTCGCTTATTGACTTAGAATATGCCGATGACATAGTCCTACTTGGTGAAGACGCCGACAAAATGCAGTCTTCTGACCACTCTAAGCAGCAATGCAAGCATGTTCGGGATGCGGTTTTCCCCCTCGAAATGCAAAATGTTGCTTCAAGACTGGGTTGCATCGGCACATGGACTAGTGATAAGGAGTGAAGTAGTCGAGCGTGTAGACCACTTCACTTATCTGGGGAGTCTCATCAGTGCCGATGGCCTGGTGACTGACAAAATCTCAGCTCGGATACAGAAGGCTCGATTGGCTTTTGCCAACCTGCATCACTTATGGCGCAGCTGAGATATCCGTTTGCTGACTAAAGGACGATTGTTCTGTGCGGTAGTCCGCTCCGTTCTCCTATATGGCTGTGAAACATGGCCGTTAAGAGTAGAAGATGTTCGTAGGTTACTAGTATTCGATCATAGATGTTTAAGAAGCATTGCTCGTATATCGTGGGACAACCGAGTAAGCAATGCTGTGGTTAGGAAACGAGTACTAGGTAAGGATGGCAGATCAATCGATGAAGTGGTGAAACTTCATCAGTTGAGGTGGTTGGGACACGTGTTACGTATGCCTAACCACCGACTGCCTCGACGAGCTATGTTTTGTGGTGTAGGAGTAGGTTGGAAGAAAGCTAGGGGCGGCCAGACCAAAACATGGCAGAAATCCATGAAGTCACTGACAAGTGGACTGAGTCATGTTGGTAGATGTAGACTACCTGGTTGGGGTCCGCGAGACGAAAGTCATCAATGGTTAGAGACCTTGAACGACATGGCTCAAAATCGTTTGCAATGGCGCAGGTTCATCCACTCTTTGAGCTCTCTCAAATCCTAATCTTCTGGATTCGTCAGCACATCTACCTTTGTCTTTCTAACCTTATCTCACTGAATTATATTTTTTCAAGAATATCTTCAAACCCTAGTCTTCTTAATTAACATTAATACCTCTACTATCTTTATCACTATGGGATTTGGTTTGACATTTGCGTCTCTGTGCTAATAATGTGGTATGGCAACATGAACTTATGTACATACGTACGAAGTTCTACGTTGCAACTGACTGACTGACTGACTTCTAATCCTAACCTCTCCGACTACTGCTAATACGTTTACTACCTCTACTACTATTGGATTTGAGCTGAGAATTACATCATTGTGCTAACGTGGTATGACAACATTAACTGATGTACGTACGTACGTACGAAGTCCTGCGTTGCGATTGATTGATTGATCTTCTTATCAAATAGACGGAATTTGTTACCGTACTTCAGCGAGTCCTGGAAATATTCGTGAGATCATAATAATAATTGAGTAGATTCATCCTTCAGTCAATCAGCAACAACGTGGAACTTCGTACATACGTATATCAGCTCAAGTTGTCATTCCATAGTAGCAGAGATCGAAATGCTAATTCAAATTCCTAGCAGCAGAGGTAGTTGAAGTGTTAGGGGTAATGGAGAAGTTTAAGATGCGAAGAAATTATTCAAGAAGTAAAATTCAGTAAAATAAATTTAGAAAAAGAAAGATAGAGGTGATGAAGAATTCAGAAGACTAGAGTTTGAGAGAGCATAAACATTGAATACATCTGCGCCACAGCAAACGATTTTAAGCCACGTCATTCAAGGTGTCTAGCCATCGGTTACTATCGTTTTATGGACCCCAACCAGGTAGTCTTCACCTGCTAACATGGTTCATCAAAGTTTTCAGTAACTTTATGTACTTCCTTTGTACACCATTCGATGACAATCACTGTGACAGAACCTCACAATCAACTGAGTCGAATGCCGCTTTAAGGTCAGACTCTTGATGGATCCTCCGCACCCTTCAACCTGGCTAAAAGCGCCATACATTCACCTTTCACCCTTCTCATTTCGTAAACAACACTCCTGCCACGTAAAGGCAATGAGCAGGACTTCCACGACAGTGGCTATGCATGCGTTATCATGTGAGAGCATTTCGAGATGCCAATATACAGTCAGTATTTATCTTTTAAAGTTTTTTCTATGTAGTAAGGGTTGTTATTACCTATGTATCATTCATTTAAATATTAATCAACAGTTTGTAGGAAGTATAAAGCGTAACCAACCAGCTTAAATTTCTCAATACATTGTAAATTTGTAATTGAATTTTGTTCTTTAAGTGAGCTCGTAATTTTAACTCAAAGTACTAAACATACAACTGCCTTATCGCCCTATTTTCTCGTAGTTCCAAGTTTCAATCGTGTACATTTATCACGATATTTAGACAGCGGCATAAATCGGATTGTACATCTTTGTAGTTTGTGTTTACTCATAAACTAATATTGGTACGGACGTTAAAATACTTCAAAAAATATTTTATACCTTTTAGTTACAACTTCAAAATACATGCCACCAACGTCACCGATGGGAGCAATATCGGAGTCTGCTGCCGCTCAACTTTTAGATTTTTCTCAGCGCCTCGATATTGGACTTCTAGACCGCGTTGTAAACTGTATGTATCATGAAGCAGGGGATCAACAAAAAATCGCAGAAAAAGTTTTAAACACACTCAAGGAACATCCAGATGCATGGATGCGTGTAGATTCAATTCTCGAATTTAGTTCAAACCAAGAAACGAAGTATTTCGCGCTTCAGATACTTGAAGCATTGATCAAAACACGTTGGAAAGTCTTAGCTCGGCCTCAATGTGAAGGTAGCCAGTACTGTTACCCGAAACTATTTTCTTAGGTATCAAAAAGTACATTGTCGGTTTGATCATCCAAACATCATCTAGTTCAGAACTCTTGGAGTCGGAAAAGACGTATCTTGGAAAGTTAAATATGATTCTGGTTGAGGTGAGAATTTTTATGTGACTTATTTTCTTTCAGATATTAAAACACGAATGGCCTAATAACTGGTCAACATTCATCAGTGACATTGTTGGAGCAAGTAAAACCAACGAATCTTTATGTCAAAACAATATGGTTATCTTACGTCTGTTAAGCGAAGAAGTTTCGACTTCTCTTTGGGTCAAATGACTCAGACAAAAGCCAAACATCTAAAAGACTCTATGTGTCAGCAGTTCAGCTTGATTTTCCAACTTTGTCAGTATGTCCTGGAAAACTCCCAAAACGCATCTCTAGTTGTGTCGACGCTGGAGACGCTACTTCGTTTCATGCACTGGATTCCTCTAGGATATATATTTGAAACTAATCTCATACAAACTCTGGTATTTAAATTCTTCAATGTCCCTCTGTTCCGAAATGTCACTTTGAAATGTCTTGCAGAAATAGGTATGTTTTATTTTTGTATTGAAATATTTTCGTACAGCGGGTGTAGTGCTAGTTGAAGAATATGATACTCAGCTAGTAGAACTGTTTGTTTCTACTACCGAAAAATTAAAAGAGGTGAGTTTGCAAATATTATTTAGTAACTGTTATACAGATGTTGCCCCTGGAAACACGATTAAAAGAAGCCTACGAACGCGGAAGTAATGATGAACAAAATTTTATCCAAAACTTGGCGATTTTCTACACAACGTTCCTCAAAGTTCATAGCAGTCTCGTCGAAAAACCTGAGTTTATTTGGAAGTTACAAGATGCTTATGCTTATCTTTTGATGCTCTCCGAAGTCGAGGAAAGGGAAATATTCAAGATTTGCTTAGAATACTGGAATATTTTAGTTTCTGACCTATATCGAGAAAGTCTTACAACTACTGTGGTTGGAACATTAGCTGAATCCGCTACTGGTGAAGGTCGAAGTAAACAATATGCACCAATTTTATCGAAGGTATTCCCACTTTCATGTAAATGATCTAATTTACTTAATACAGGGTTAATAAGATGATTTTTATATCGGTATTGGAAATGGTAGATACCGATCACAATTTATTCTGCGTGTTGTTTTAGTCATGGCAATTGAAAAAATAGTTTTCATTATCGCTCTTGGGTGTCTTGTGTTTATTACGAATGGGGTGACAGTAGTAATGGTAATAAAAGGGGTTTGCGTTTGCAAACATATCATTTTGAAATTACCTGAGTGAATATTTTGATCATTTGATTTTCATATTGAGATTAGTTTGACTCGAGAGTTGGATGCATGAAGTTTTATTCAGAAATCGTTATTCTGAACAACTGAAAATAAAATAGATCTTTTCAAAGTGGACGGTATGCATCTCTGTTGGAATACCATCACATCCTACTATATCTTATAGTCAGATGTATCTCCACTGTTCTTCATCTGTCTCTACTCAGTTTTACCATCTTTTAGTACCGACGTATGTGCTTTTTTGTTGTTTTCTGTTAAAATCATATATATTTTTTGTATAGAGAAACGGTAACATTTGTGTTATCATCTTTGCTAATTTCCGTTGTCTACCAACTTCAGAAAGTCTGGACTTTAACGTCTAAATTTTTGTGCCACATTGAGACGGAAAACCACCTAAACTGTGGTAACTCGTTTTCTTTACAGTTTTAAGTTCATCTAGTCTTAAATTATTTGTTCGACGTCTTTCCTATTCGCAGCTCCGAAGAATCATGATTTCACGCATGGCTCGTCCTGAAGAAGTACTTGTAGTTGAAAATGAACATGGAGAGGTTGTCAGAGAGTTTATGAAGGATACAGATAGTCTTAATTTGTACAAGAGCATGCGTGAAACATTGGTCTACCTAACTCATTTGGACTATTCAGTAAGTTCTATTTAGTTATATTCACATGTTTAGGTTACTTCATGTTTAGTTGTCTTTAATCTTCGGTATTACAAAAATTGATTGGCGATTCATTCTTAATCACTGTATGTTGAATTCACTAGAATAGCGGTTGAATTCACCTGAATAACTTACCTAAGGTCTATTTAAGTCAGAAGACTATCTTTGCCACTCGGAAATTATATATATATATATATATATATATATATATATATATATTGTATATAAACAATATAAGTTTAGTGCTGCGATAAATTTAAGCTTACACTAAAGGTGATAAGGCAATAACAAGAAGTTACTTGTAAAAGGGTCGCGGTTTCAGAATGGTTTTCTATGCAAAAAATTTCTAACTATTTAGAACATAGCCAGTTTGTCCAGCCAATGAGATACAAAAAAAGTGGATGAATACTGATTACTAATAAGTAATATATTCATGAAACGAGAATTTCACACCATTTCATTCACTGCGCCTGACATTTATTGTCTCCAAAAATATCATAATGAGGGCATAATAAGTATAAAGAGATAAATGCCTTCTCAAGTTACTAACCAAATTAATTATTTTTGAACTCAAAAGAAAAAATTCGACGGCCGTATACCTTTGAAAGATTGCTTACCATTTAGGCAGTAATTTTCTCATACATCATTGCTTGTTCGAATCACACATTTCTTGCATTGGTTGAGGAAGTAGAGTAGTATTACTGACCTCCATAATAACAAGTTTGAATGAAGCAGAATACTTAAAAAATTGGAGATTATTAAATTTCATTTGCTGAGATCGTTTCAAGTATAATTTTTACAAATAGAATACTTAAACGTGTATTAGTTTACTAACCTACATTGATTTAAAGATGAGTTATCATAGCAATCTAAGTGTAAATGTTTCGAAATTCTTGTTTCACCGTGACCATTGGAATATTGTTAATTCTCTCAATGTTACACGTTGTCGTTAGGTGTTCATGTAATAAGAAACTGGGTTTCTTAAGCATTAATTGTTGTAAAATTTATTGACATATCGCTTTTTCTCAAAGTAAACTATCAGAATCAATAGACTAGATATATGAAGAATCAATATCGTGTTTTTAAATCGTCATAGATTCATCCTAATTGTGATTAAGGAAAACAAAATATATTTCCGCTCAAGATATTTTCCTGACCATTTTTCATTTAAGCTGTACCAATTTTTTAGAAATCACTTACTACTAAATTAGCAAACTTTTCGTAAATGAATATAATAGTTTAATGTAACTAGAGGTTTGTCTATATATCAGAATAATAGTTCAAATACAGTTGAATTAACAGACTCGCCACCTCAATTAGTAGTCAATACTTATTTGTTAAACTTGTCTTGTAATTTTAAACACTGAGTTACATGCGAGCCGCTCGCAAAATTTACAGTCTGAAAATATAAATCGTGATAAAATTAAATATATCCATGGATTTGTCCGTATTAATTCCTCCAAGAAACTGCACTTATCATTCAACTAGTACTAACTTCCATTCAGGCAAATTACTACATGGTATTATTTTACAAAACGTTGGCTAAGCCAATCCTAAAACGTTATAGGGGCTTAGATTGCATTAAGTGTTCACAATGTCCAGAGCAATATATTTTTATTATGAAGTGTATGTATTCTCAGTCAATCGTCATTGAATAAGATGTTTTTATAGAGATACTTTTTAAATACATCCCTACGCAATGTATACGTTTCCTATATAACATTTGGTTTTCAGTGATTCATTTAAACCGAAGTTTCCGACTTTATTAATAATAGTAAAATTACTATTTGTAGGACACAAAGAAGATTATGATCGAAAAGCTGCAACACCAAGTGGATGGGCGAGAGTGGTCATGGCATAACCTTAACACTCTTTGCTGGGCAATTGGTAGCATCTCTGGTGCTATGCAGGAAGATGATGAAAGAAGCTTTTTAGTTATTGTGATTCGAGACCTTCTTGGACTGTGTGAACAAAAACGTGGAAAAGATAATAAAGCTATTGTTGCGAGTAATATCATGTACGTTGTTGGTCAATATCCCCGATTTTTACGCGCACACTGGAGATTCTTAAAAACTGTAATTACGAAGCTTTTTGAATTTATGCATGAAACGCATGAAGGTGTGCAAGATATGGCATGTGATACTTTCATTAAAATTGCTCAGAAATGTCGGCGACAATTAGTAACTGTACAGGTACGTAGTCTGTTTTTCGCAGCTCTATGAAATGTTTATCGATTTATATAAACAAAAATTAACATATTTCCATCTGTCTCTAAAATATTTCGCCTGTATTTTTACAATCGATTCATGTATAAATAAGTTTTGGTGGCCATAAGCCAGTAATTACCACAGAGCGAATCCCAGAGTAGTTGGAATGATGACAGCATAAGTGGTGATAAAAAACATTATGGTCCAAAGGTACGATTCAAGAAGATATAACTCTGTAAAATGAAAGGAAACTGTTAGGAGTTCAGAAGCTTAGAATCTAGGAGTAGACAGAGTGAGTGCGCCTACGCCGTTGCATATAATTTTAAACTATGTCATTCATAGTTTTTAACCATGGATTCCAGTGATCACACGGAACCCAACCAGGAAGTCTGCATCTGTTGAAATGGCTCAATTCAGTTGTCAACGACTTCATGGACTGGTACCGTATTTTGATTTGACTGTTTCTAGCTTTCTTTGAGCCTACTCCTACATCAGACAATATTGCTCTTTGAGATGATAGGCAGTGGTTAGGGATACGTAACTGACCACCTCAACTGATGAGAAGATTCACTACCTCATTAATCGATTTGGCATATTTATGTAGTACTCTACCGCTAACCCATACACTGCTTAGTCGATGGTCCCAAAATACATGAGCTATGCTCGGACGACAACTGTAATCGAATACTAGTAACCTCCAAGTATTCTCCATTCATAATGGCCATGTTTCACAACAGTAAAGTAAAATGGAACAACCTAATGCATAGTTAACTTGAGTTTGATATATGTGAAAAGTAAGATGGCGTTCCATATTTTCATGAAGATTGTCTATTTGTTATAAGTATACTCCCATACCTTATTCTTTTGTTCATTTGTAATATATTAACAAGTCGATGCTGGTTTTGCTATAAAATTTTCATACATTTCTTATTTGGATAGTACGGAGAAGCAGTCGAATTTATTGAGGAGATTTTAAAAGAAATTGATATCATAATCAATGATTTACAACCTCAACAAGTTCACACATTTTATGAAGCTGTAGGAGTTATTATTAGTGCACAACTTGACTCAGTTGTTGAGGCCAAGCAAATAGAAAGACTTTTCCGCTTACCTAATCAAGTAAGTTCTACACCATCGTTTACAATTTATCTGAGTGTAGATTTGGGATGGAATTCTCGTCCAAGCTGCATGCAACATTGATTTATTAAGAGATTTTGAAGTTGTACAGCAGCTTTGTAATTTATTGAAAACGAATCACAGTGCTTGCAAATCCCTTGGACATTCTTATCTTGTACAGGTAAGCGTAATCGTAAGTCCCTGATACTTAGTTTTTCATAGTTAGTCACTCTTATCCTAAAAGAATATATATTTCTTTTTAGCTTGGTCGGATTTACTTGGACATGTTAAATGTTTATAAGATAATGTCCCAAAATATTGGTCAAGCTGTGGCTACCAATGGAGAGCAGGTGACAAAACAGCCGCTTATTCGCAGTATGCGATCAGTTAAAAAAGCGATATTGAATCTATTATCTTGTTGGATAAAAAGAACTACTGATCCTGTATTTGTAAGTTGTTTACAATGTTAGATATTGCATCCATTAGAACTTGTTAGTTAAAATTACGACCATCGTAACTGAAAACTATTTTTACTTCTGTCTTTAATACAGGTGGCAGAAAATATTTTACCTCCGTTATTAGACGCCGTAGCTGACGATTACCAAAAAAATCTTCCCGCTGCTCGAGAGGCAGAAGTTCTAAACTTAATGGCTACTCTTGTTAATTGTCTTGAAGGACATATTCTTCCAGCTCTGCCTCGTGTTTTAGATGCTGTCTTTCAGTCGACTCTGGAGATGATCGATAAAGACTTGGAAGAATTTCCCGAGCATCGAACTAATTTCTTTACCCTTCTGCAAGCTGTAAACGCGCATTGTTTCTCTGCTTTGTTAAGCTTAACATCTGATAAGTTCAAACTGATTTTAGATAGTGTCATTTGGGCAATCAAGCACACTATGAGACAAGTAAGTTTTCAGGTCTTTCATTTTCATGCTGATAGTCTTAATATCACTTTATGCATGATCTTAGGTATTTTCTATTTATGATAGAATAACTGTAATCTTCATGTGTTGAGTACAATATCTTGATACCATATGGTTAGGAAGCATACTGTCCCTAATATTTCGGCAGGACTATTAGTTAGTTGATTAACTGAAGTTTCTGTAATCCTTTCTAGAAGTAGACTAATCGTTCACATTGGTCTATGCAGCCCTTTGTATGAGCTTGTTAATTGATGTACTTAGATATTGTCTGTGAAAGGTGGCTTACATTTAACAGCCGTATGTTGCGTTTTGATTATTTCAACTTGTCCTAAATTCTGCTCACCTCTTAGATATCTCTGAGACCTAAAATTCAGATGACTTAACAGGTAAGATTTTGTAAACTTTCACAGCTTCCTATCGAAATAGGATTAAAATAATTGCTCCACCTGTACTGCTTGAATATAAGTTCAACCTTCATTTCTAGACCATTGCACTTAAAAAGTTCTTGAAGTAACTTGCCACAAACTGTTACTTCCTTATTAAAGTTTAGTAATCTCGACTTTATTCATATTTGGTGACCCAGTAGTCATACTCCCTCCACCTTCTGAACTCGTGATTGTTGACAGCTATTTTGCATACTTTCGTTGAGATTTCGTTTTGAAATCCAGCCAAACTGATAATATGTAAATCGATAATTTTGTAGAAAGTTATTTAAATATACTGAGAGCTCTAAATTTCGACTTAACTTGACTATCGTTACTGTTTTGAGCTAATTACAATGACCTTCTTTGCATAAAACAAACTAGAACATTGTCTAGTTTTTATTTTCACGTCATCGATTTTCGTTAGAATTTCGGAATTGGTTTCAACCACTGATTGTCCCAGCCTCTAAAAGACAGTCACAATGAAACAGTTCGACTAATAGTTTTCAAAATATTAGCTTCAATAATACTTTGATGCCTCAATAGAGCTCGTGAACATCAGACTCGAGAAACCAAGTTGGTTTCAGACCTAGTTCATTAACCCTATACAGGTTCTGTACTCGAGCACTATAGGTCGAGTCGGAGCTTATGATGAATTGTCATCAGAATTGATTACTTCGAACAGTGTTCGTCCTTTTAACTTCGTCATTGACATGCTTTCATAGACAACACTTTCACCGTCTCACTTTTCAGAATTGAAACTTTTACCGGGAGATTCACTTGTTAACTTGGATTGTCAAGTCACTGACAAGATCCAAAGTCTCCTGACCACCTTCAGCAGCAATGCAAGCATGTTCGGGATGCGATTCTCCCCGTCAAAATGCAAATGTTGCCTCAGGATTGGTTTGCATCGGCACTCGAACTAGTGATAGGGAGTGAGGAAGTTGAGCGTGTTGACCGCTAGATATGCTATTACGAGTTCACCTTACTTGGTAAACGGAACGAAGAGCAATGATTCGGCAACATGATAGGCTATTCTAATCCGTTGTTCCAGACCATGCTAGCAAAAGCAAGAAGTCTTGATAAGGAGTAGAGAATGTATTCTACAAGCACCCAGAAAATTCGACGTTGCTAAGCACACAAATCAAGCTTGTTTATACAATGATAGGATGGTAGATCAAGCAAGTAATGAAACTTCATCATTTGAGGTGGTTGGGACGTGTTACGTATGCCCAACCACCGACTACCTCAAATGGCGATGTTGTGTGATGTAGGGGGTGGGCTGGAAGAAAGCTGCGGCCGGCCAGACCAAAGCATGGCACAAACCTAAGTCATTGCTTACTGGGCTGGGCCATGTTAGTAGGTGTAAACTATGTGGCTTGGGTCTGTGAGACAATAGTAACCGATGGTTAGACACTTTGAGTGATATGGCTCAAAATCATTTGCAATGGTGCAGGTGTATCCATTCTTTGTGTTCTCCCAAATTCTAGTCTGAATTCCTGATGACGTTTTCTCCCTCTTTTTAAACTTAAACCATTGGATTATTCATCTTGAATAATATCTTCGAAGTCTAATCTCCATTACTGCTAACACTTCTACTACTGTGGGATTTGAATTGTCAATTGCTTCTCCGTGCTTGTGTTACGGCAACCTGATACACGTACGTACGAAGTTTTACCTTGCAGTTGACTGACACTAATTTTTCTTATGGCTATTAAGTTGAAGGATCTAATATATTATCAGATACACCAGAGTAACTTATATTCCGTACATCCTTTAAGTAATATCTCTAACACATCACAGTTTTGTATATAAAAAAAACTGAACTGCGGTAGTTTGCTCAAAATCAGAACGTGTCTCTTCGTTCTTATCTGGATACAAAGCGAATAACATATGCTTAGGGAGTAAGTTAATCTCCATATAGTTACTTCGCTCAATATGATGATGAATAGTTTTCCAATAGTATTGTTACGCGTAATAATGAGTGACTGCTCGTGATATGCAATTCAAATTTTATCTACACACCTAAAGTTTGGCTTTTATTTCACGTAAGTCTATTATGATTGTTTACGTTGAAAATACACAGGATACCAAGTTACAAGTTTATTGTATATTCCATATTAGTGAAATTTTTGTTCCAAAAAGCGCTCAATTTTCTTAAACTATGAATAGATCATGTCGCTGAAAATTCTATCTATCTGAAAGTTGGGATTCAAGAATAAATAATTCTTATGATCGGCTACAAATACAATCGAAACCCTAAAAAACGAATTGTCCACTTAGATGTTACTACGGTTTACCAAAAACCAAAGTAGTAGTGCTGATGGTTGTAGTGAAGTTGTAATGAACAGAAATCTTTATACTTCGTTATTAATTGATTTATTTAGTGAGTTCATCCAATCTTGTTGACGGATCTTTTAATTGTTCAATGATTTTATACACTACAGGTCTCAGAAACAGGACTCAATATACTACATACAATGCTTGTAAATATGTCTGGTGCAAATTCCGAAAAACGCCAGGTGTTTTTTAAAACATTCTTCATGGATATTCTTCAGCACATGTTTGCTGTCATTACTGATCGCTCTCAAACAGGAAGTAAGTATTTAGAAAATTCAGTATATGCAATCTATTAATTGTATCATTAGTTTTCTGTCCAAATTAAAGCTCACAGATATTTCATTGTCCAAAGTGAACTAAATTTATCAGCGGATTATCTTGAAAAGCTAACCAACAAATTCTTAATTTTCATTCTTTACTAGATCATACACCTTATATTTGTGCCGTCAAAATATCAGTTCACATGTAAATTGAACTTAACAATTCATCCTGAAGGGTTTACTTGAAGTTATGACCTATATATAACTTTATAGTAAATATCTTTTTGGAAATAAGGGACTGATTCATTTATTTATGAATCGTTTCACTCTGATAATTTCTTTCACTGAAACCGGTATCTTTTACTTATAAATTTTCCGCTAGTAAATTTATTTTTAAACATTTGCAGCTTGTGAAATCACCGCCTTACGATTGCACGCAGAATAACGTCTGAGTATGCTCCTTCCTCATAAATTAATTTGTAAATGTTTATTAGATTCGAAGGGATTGGGTTCGTGGACAATGTAGTCGTTTCCATTTTATTAGTCCTAGCATCTTGGTAATCCAGGCCTGTGGATAAAAATCCAGGGGTCAGCCAGTTGTTGTCCCTAACCTGTGTTCGATCATATTTTTCTGCTTTAAATTTCCCGTATATGCTGACAACTCTATTTTACTAATACTGTATTCCAGAAATGTTTTAAATTGAGTAGATCATTGTGCTAGTTTATATTTTCACTAACAAATTAAATACGATAATATCATCTAGTAAGTGTTTTTAAGCCATAATGACATTTTTTGTCTTCTAGTTGATGTCAACCTATATATTCCTTATTATCGTTATACATTTTTAGATTTAACTCTCCAGTCATCACTGTTGGCTTATATGTTTAAAATAGTGGAGAACGACATCATCACAGTTCCGCTTGGTGATGCTCCTGAGTCAACAACCATACAAGGTTCAAAAGGCAATGTACAGTATGTACACCAAAGCTTAAGTCAGTTATTAAAACAAGTTTTCCCTCACCTGCAAGATACACAAATTCGTGTTTTTATTGATGGACTATTTTCATTTGATCAAGACGTGGCAGCATTTCGTGAACACGTGCGTGACTTTCTTGTCCAGATACGCGAGGTTGCCGGGGAAGATTTATCTGATTTATATTTGGAAGAAAGGGAAGCTGAAATTGCTCAAGCTCAAGCAGCAAAACTAAGACGTCAAGCATGTGTCCCTGGAATTTTGGGTCCCCATGAAGTTGATATGTGTGACTAGTTGAAAGACTTTCAGACCAATTTTAATGCATTTTAATTTTCGAGTTAGAACTAACATTCCCTGAAATCTTACACATATGTGACAGTATATATGTCGTTTCGATGATAACCGATAATTTCTTTTCTATATAGTGTTTCATGAGAACCACTTGATTCATTATTGTCAATATAACTTTTCCACAATACAGTATCCAAACATGACAATGTTCTACTTGTAATGAACTACTTACATAAAAACTTTGCAAGGCTATACACAGTTACCCTTAAATGATTCTTTAATTACTAGGTGCTGTTTCTTAAACTGAACTGGGTTAAAGTGAGTCCATTTCGATAAAAAAAACGAGGTTGCATCCATGAATAACAATATTAGATAATGTATGTTGATACATTGAAATAATATATTTGAGGTTATGTATAAAAAATAGGATATTCAAACATTAAGAAAACAATATTTCTACAAAGGTCCATTTTCTGTTTGGTCGAGATTTAACACCTCAACAGTGGATGCAGCAGGTCGACTTCTAGAAGATGTCTGGGAATTACCACTTACTGACATGAGGATAGGTAATCTATCAATAAGATCACTCAGTTCTCCTCTAGTCCTGCAGTAGAATCCAACAGCACAAGAAGGGTTTAGGTTCGCTACACTCATTGTTTTAGGAACAGGGCAGTACCAAGACTGAAAAAAAATACGTTCAGAATAAAAATTTAATTAAACAGGAATGGGTGTGGGTATATCTATATGTTGTCTATCCAATAAATACACCGAGTGGTACAACAAAAACTCTATTATACAAAATTCTAAATACATCATCTTATCTTTAAAAATAGTTCTCGTTTGTAGTACAGGATTTCGTTCATCTCCGTTCCTATCGCTCAGAATGCAAGTTCTTCAGAGACTCGTTTTATGATTTCCTAAACCTCAATTCCTTTGTTAAGTGGAACGAGTCAACTAGAAACCTTGAACCTACGTTTTGTGTTAGTTGGTACTCTGAAGCAAGACGTAAATTGAAGGAACTAATGCTCCATGTGCGATTTGAACTCGTGATACTGAGCTTCATTATTTGATATGTTACTACTAAGTTATCTGACGTATGACTGAGCTATTGGTACTCCTTGCTGATAAGTATCGATTGATTGTCTTTTATCGACATCCTCCGATCGCCTGATATCTCAACACAGTGCACGCGAATTAAACACTTAGGCTAGTGGTCGCATAGCAATTCGGTCAGCACTTGGAGGGTTAGACAAACATGATGATTCAGGTTTCTTGCTGGAATTATGTGGACTCGTGATTTCTCCAGATTCAGTTCATTAGTAGTCATCATGACAATGAGTGGGTGATCGGAAGACATGCGGAACTTCGTTCGTTCGATCTTCCCATCAACAGAGAGAGCAAACGGTTGTTTTGGCTTTGGGTGTTCTATAGTATTTATTGGAACGTTTGATCCACTTGCAGAATTCTTTTTTCTGAAATGCTTTATCTCGGTAGATAGGTCTTAATATGTAAATATTTTACAAGTTGCACCTATATCCCCAGTATGTCAAATCGTACTTTCATTGAAAAAACTATATTTATACCCAAAACTGAATTAAACATTACACTCTAATCAGCAAAGTATACTTACATCGACTGAAAATGTAGAGGAATTCAGTTTTTGAGCTGGTTGACTAAAATGTGGATCTAGGTAAATTAACGAATTATTTTGACAACCGACATAGTAGCTGGAATGTTTTCGGCGACCACCTATCAAGCCTACAAACGCTGGATCTGAAAATAGACGTAGTACCACTTGAATATAACGTGGATTAATGCGATTTTCTTTTCCGAACATCAGTGGTATAAGTAATAAGATAGCTGTTGGTCCAAAGCTACGTGAATCTATACTGTTTTCTTCAGGATGATAGGAAAAAATATAATTACATAAAGAAATTGAGTAAAATATCCAATATTTTTCATTCATTCTACTCTAGAAATATTTCATGTTTTGTTGTAAACTGACACATTTTCCGACTAGGCTTTTTACATAATATTTCCTTTCAACCTGAATTAAACTTCCACTAAGAACTGGAAAGGTCTGGACAGCTGTTTTGTCCTGGCATGGCAAGTGTATCCACAACTAAGAATGAAATCAGCACCTTCAGTCTTGCTGTGAACGCTTGACCACTGAGTCAGTAACCAATAATGAACTTGTTTAATTTCGGTTAATTTGCGATACTACACAATCACTAATCAATATCATTATCGATAACATTCAATAATCTTCACCAGACTTAGCCCCCGTGATTAAAATTATCACGAGTTCACTAGTGACTCATTTCGAGAAAATTCCGGGATTTCAGCTAAAAATCATGACCGTTGAATTTCAGATGTATCAGATCTGGGTTAGTAGTAAACCACAGGAGACAATCGAAAATGACTGTTCAGTATTGGGAGTTGAATGAGACTAGGCACGTAAATCATTTGAAGAAAGCTAAGTGGTTATGAGGTACAGCGTTCGTTAAGAGATCAGACGTCCTGAGTTCGATTCTTATTGGGGTCGACGGTGCACATGCTAGGGTGGAACAGCTGTTTTGTGCCTGCCAGTTATCTAATTTAGATTAGTTCGTGAAAGTAGTAACATTCAATAATCTCCACAAACCTCATATACTTATAAATTTACTTTCATTGAACTGATATGAAATAACTTGAGTGGATGGACATATATACGGAGTTGTATGTTCAAGATTGATGAACTTCGTATTCAATTAATAGCCAACCATTTATCCACCGACCTATTATTACTATTTATTTATTTCTATAATCTCATACATAGAAAAAATGATTTACGAATAAAATCCAAACTTCAAATATACAGATATGTTTAAAAGAAGTCGAATTGATAGTTAGTGTAATTAATTAGTTTAACGTACTTACCGTTGGTTCGATTAGATTGTGAACGATGTAGGGCTGTATGATCGGTGTAATATATTTTCGGTTGACACTGATACAAAGTGTGTGATCCTTTAGCAAGATCCATAATTTCCTTGTATGAAAGTAAAAAGATGATAGTTTCATTTAAAACAAAGTGGTCTTATTTTATGATGATTGACGACATAAGAGAATAAGCCAACTTAAGGAGATAATAAAGATTGCTGACAGGGAATACTGGTGATAGAATCATACTCAAAGAATGATGAACTGCGAAGACAAGAAATCTTAGGTTTCCCTTTCACATAATTCTTACTTAGGTCGGAATCATAAATTAATGGATTCCGGCTTAGTTCATCTAAGGATAATGTGCTTGCCGTGAGACCTAAAACATATTTTAATTTCAATGTAGGGTAATGAATCAGCAAGGTTGAAGAATTTTCGAATACAATGAAGTATAAGTTCAGTGCTTTCTAGATTGAAATAGTAATAATTTTGTGACGAAAACCATTCTCAGACCAGCTGATGGCATAAATTAATTCTGGAATATCCGAGTGGACTATTAGCTTACAGAAGCCGTACTTTCTTACATCTTTGACTCTGCACTCGTACTTCAACATTTAACAGATTACTGAAATAAATAACAGAAGATAGGTCACAAAATCTTACACTCTGTATACAACTTGTCTTCATCTAAGGAATGAATCCTCATAAAGACGTTGAAATTAAATGGCGATTATATCAAATAACTGGATATTAGATCTGCATTTAATGAGAATATAATCACTTGAAAGGAATCAAAATGAAATGATAAACTGATCGGAAATTGTGGAACGCTTTTACTAATCTCAACTAAGTGAAAATAATTAGGAGAGTGACTTATAAATTATCTAGGAACTAGCATAGACAAGTTTATAGTAGAAAAAGGGAAGCAAGTTACTATTTTACAATATTATACATCTTGTGGCAATAAAATAATAGTGAAATAACTGTGTTCCAGAATTTCTACTAAGGAATATAAATCGGTTAACACTTTTGCGAATCTGCAACAATGTGAACATAATTTACGCAAATGAATAACGTGGTATGATAGATGAGGTGTAGTACAAAAAGTCTCTGGGTAGTTTGAGAAAGGTACGGTTGTTAGAAACTAAACTCTTGACTCAGCGAAATTATAGAAATCTTTAGCTTCGAGTATGAGTTTCTGCTCCAGATAAATAAACTTTTTATGACCAGTCTCAGAAAATAATCTTAACTCATGCCTACTTCGAATATATATGATATAACATGAATACTCAAAAGATTCCAATTAATCTGTGACCACCTCACGGTATATAACTCTATCACGAGCGAAATACACTTGAACTTGGTTCAAACGGTTATCCAAAGCACTTCCTTTTGCCATCACATGCAAGATTGCTGAACAAATTGAAGCTGGCCCACACCATTCGCCTGGTTTCCTATCACTCATTTGAACTAAACGATGCAAGGATAAGGGAGAAGATGGGGACCAAGAATCATTGAACCATTTGATGATTTGAAGGTTGAAATCCGCATCCCTGAAATCATGGAAACCAACGACTCTATGAGTTAAGAGGTAATAATGAAGAGGTTATACTGGAAGTAGAGCTGTTATATGTACATCAAGTTAATTTTAAGATTGATTATCTGTATGTTATCATAATGAATATTACTATTGTATCATTGTGGAATTCCTTTAATAATATGCACTTAGAATGGTAAGAATGAGCCTCCAAAATAACTATTATATGATAGGAAGATGAGACTTCAAACTTTAGTGAATCGGTTCATGTTATCACAATTTAGAACACATGAGTGATATATGAAACTGAATAGAAAGTTAAATGCAACTTCCACCTACCAGTTATTTACTTTTAAGTTAGGGACCTATTTCAATTAACTTCGAAGCTATAGTGCATAAAATGAATATGAAGCGTGTCAGACATTCTTAGGTGTTTAAACGCAACATTCAGACGACTTCATACAGTCAGTGAACTGTGTATGGATTGGTTACCGCGTAGAGACTATTTTTGGGCTATCAAAACTAGAACGCTACATTAACTAGTACACATAACTAAATCCAGCAAACAGGGACAACAAATAGACAAGGTGAACAATACTAGCTGCTGCTAACTCAAATAGTAATTCACATAAACTTCACTTAAATAGTGGGTTTTGTTAAAGTCTTTAATAATTTACTGGATGTGATAAATATTCTCTTACATATAGGCGCTACAGAACACTTCAATAGAATGCCATTTTTAGCCCAAGTAATACGATCAATGTTCAATGCTATTAATAATCTATGCAATAAGAAACCGTAGAATGATCAATTAAGTAGTAAGTTTTCAACTAAGCTTAAAACCTTGTTTGGTTTTTCAGACAAATAAATTGGTACATGAAGGTTTCAGGTTGAAATCTTTGAATAGCTTTTAGAAATGTCAGTTGCCTGGGAAACACTTCACTTTCAATATATTAAAGAATGGTTAGAATAGCTACTATTCGATTATTGCTAAAATTCAACTATCCAAAATATGACAACAACAGCGTTTTGTACTATTGATCTTCCGATAATTTAGATTGAGACAAACGTCTCATCAGTACATCTTTACTTGATTACTATGATAGAATACTCAAGTGATCAGATCAAGATACCACATGATGGTTCGTTGTTTTTGAACCTACAAGATAGGTTGCGTTGAATCCAGCTTTCCTTTATATTCACTAAGTAGTATAAATAAGATAAATGATACTAGAAAAATGTATAGAACCCTCTAAGTATCGGGAACATTAATGTGTTCATAAATTAACTGTCTGGTGCACTCATGAATGGCAGTTATAGGTTACTAGTGTACATAAGATAAGTAAGAATTGCAAATTTCTCGAAAATCATTAGTGATACTTTTATGTATGCTGCAAAACGAAATATTGAACAAACCTTTGATTTTTGGTTAGCCTCCAGTTTCTGCCTAAAAAATGAACTACTAGGGCTTGAGCAAGCAACATCTGTCCACATCGAAACATGCATCCCCATCCACAATCTGATGTTTGAATAGATAGAGGAATATATGAACCTGGGATATCTATGGATTTTGACCCAGAATGATCTGCAGACGGTGTTATAGAATGACTACTGTTGCTGTGAATTGATAATTTTTCTGTGGATATACAATAAAATAAGTGGAACATACCTAATTTATTTTTGTATAGATCAATTCCGACTTGAATATTTTCACAATCACATGAAACTGGTCTTTCATTTAATGGTGAATATGGTATGTTAGTGGAGGCATTACAAGGATTTCTTAATATGGGAGAAAAGTTATCACGATACGTAAACCATAATCTACTTGCAAAGTCTGAGGCGAAATCGGAAAAATTACCATCCAAAATTATATCCTTTGGCATAGCTGGAGGATTGTCTGAAGTACAAAAAACGGCGATGAAATTAGCTACAAATTTTATTTCGCCTATGTACATTACATTTCTAAAACTTGTTAGGTTTTACAAAAAAATACATCAGGTCTATATTTCGATGAACAGAGAAACTTCAGTATGTTTGTTATGAAAACTATGGATATAAACAAATACGAAAAATTTATAAGCATTGAAAATAAACTTAAATCAAATTGATAAATTATTGATATAAAAACATCTACTAATTTGCGCAGACGTGAGATTAGATTATCAAGACCCTTTTAAGTTACGTTTTAAAGGTCTAACTGACAGCTTATTCGGGAAAAGAACGATATGGAACACATGGGGTAAGATTCTCTGGAACTGAATAATAATGGTATTCATTAAAAGTACTGAGATTCCTAGTAGTAAAATTGAATAATACGGCTAACAGGTAATTCTCCCATGTAACTCCATCTAGAGGCCTAGGATTATTGAATAAAAGAGTGAGAATGCATTGAAACCCCGACCCGATAGAAAAGAGTCTTGCCAAACCGGCTCTAACCAGAAAGTCAATCCTGTGTGTGGGGTCGTGAATTCACATTATTAAGGAGTCATGTACTGGGACGGAACAACTGTCCAGTGCCTCCATGTTTTCAATGATTGTCTAACTCGATTTCATCTTTGACTTCAATAAAACTCAACAATCTGCATTACCTCATATTGAAAATTCTTTACGAGTCATTAGAGTTTTTGATGCAACATTAATGCTAATATTTTAGGAAATCAGCCATTTGAAATGACGATAAAGCAGTATGAAATAATGTTGCCTTATTCTATTCCATAAATAATAAATGTATGATCATTAAACTGTGGGCATAGCCTAAAAAGTGATGAAAACTAAAACTGTTAGTCCGGAAAATTTAGATTTTGTATTACTCCTAATAGTACTTCCTTAGGATGAAAATAGACTGTTGTTTTTCATTATTTGGTGACGACTTGAGTAGTTATATCTCATTACAAATCTTTGCACAACTGGTGAAGCTCATATTCAGTACACAAGTAATTATGGTTGAGTTGTATTACTTTTATTGACTAGTTTTTCAATATGTTGTGTAGTGGCTACGCTCCTCCTGGAGACCATCTAGGGTTACTGCCGATCCAAATCGCAGAAAAAAAGGGGAGGGTTGCCTCGGAGTTAGCGACCTCATCCCGTAGAAAACAAACTTGCTAGAAAATGGCTAATCAGATCAATTAATTCAAACCGTTTGAAATCTGTCCTGGTAGTTGGAAGGTTTTCATTTAGAAGAATTATCACGAGACCGATGCCTCTTCTGACAAACAGAGTAACGGTAATCATAGATACATGCAACATTCTTACATTATGAAAGACCGGAAGAACCATTCCAGTTACTGCGGAAATTAAAAGATACAACCTATTCGTGCTTGGGATCTATGAAACACATTCGGTGCACGTTGGGACAACAAAGACTAGCTTCAGGAGAGATGAAGTTATGCTCCGGCCATGAAGAAGAAACTGGTCCTCATACACAAGGAGTTGCACTGGTGCTATCCGAACAAGCGCAAAAGGCACTTATGGGATGGGAATCTCATGGACCCAGAATCATCAAAGCCTCCTTCAAAATAAGGAAAGAGAGGACTCCTATTAACGTCATCCGATGCTATGCACCTACTAATGACTACAACGAAGATGTTAAAGAGCGATGCTACGAGAATGCAGCCAATCATCGAGAAATACCCATCAAATGATGTGACCATACTGATGGGAGACCTAAATGACAAGGTTGAAGTGAACAACACTGGATATGAAGACATCATGGGACGACATAGACTGGGAGAAAGGAACGAAAATGGCGAGAGATTCGCGAACCTATGTGTCGCCAAAAAACTGGTCATTAGTGGCACCATATCCCAACACAAATGCACATACAAAGCTACACGGCTATCACCGAATCATACTACACAGAACCGAAGCAAACATATCTGCATCGATAAAATGTTCAGAAAGACGATGGAGGACATGTTCATATCATCACTCGGTTGTGACCAAAATGAAACTGAAACTAAAGAAGCATTGGACAACGGAACGAACAGTATCACAAAAGTTTAATACAGGCTTTCCTCGGAATGCTGGAAAACTCAACAAATTCAAGATAGCTTTCAGCAATAGGCTGCAAGCCTTTTACGACCTATTAAATAAAGAGGAAACTACCATGGAGAACAACGAGAAACGGATCAAGAAATCAATAACGTCTACATGTCATGAGGCTCTGGGTCACAATAACTATCATCACAATGAATTGATCTCCGTGGATACTCCGGATAAGATTCAAGAAGGGAAGAACTAGAAGGCAGCAAACAACATCAGTCGAACAAAAGCAGAGCAAGTCAATGCAACGGCCGAATACACAGAATAGGAGCATTAGAGCTGACAATCGTAAATATGTGGAAGATCAAGCGATGACAGTAGAAAAGGCTGCAAGAGAAGGAAACATGAGATGATTTCATGATACAACGAAAATATCGTAAACCCTTAAGACAAGTGAAAAGCAAGGAAAGCAGAGTGATTACCAACATTGAAGAACATTGAAACAAATATACAGAGCACTTTGAAGAACTCTTGAATCGACTAGCCCCGCTGAACCCAACCAACATAGAAACAGTACACACAGACCTTCGAATTGATGTTAATCTACCCACAATCAGAGAAATTAGCATGGTCATCAGACTAGAAAACACACCAGCTGAAGCACTGAAAGCAGACATAGAAGCAACTGCAAAGATGTTCCATGCTCTCCTTAGAAAGATTTGAGAGGAAGAACAAGTACCAACAAACTGGAAAGACTCTTCATCAATGTACCAAAGAAAGATCTCAGTAAGTGTGGAAAAGTCAGGGACATCACTCTACTATCAATACGAGTAAAGATCTTCAACACAGTATGATCAAGCTAAATGAAAGATTCAGTAGACACAACCTTGAGATCAGCAGGCTGAATTCCGCAAGGATCGATTATGTGCCGACTAAATCACACATAACATCATGGATCGTTAGGGAACAACCAACTGAATGGAACTCATCACTCTACATCAACGTCCTTGACTATGTGGAAGTATTTGATAAAGCGGACAGGATGACACTATGGTGTGCCTGAGAAGATAGTCAATATAATATTGAATTCCTAGAAATACAATTGAAGTGGAAAATCGGGGTTGAGGGACAGTTCACAGACTCATTCCAAGTGAAAACCTGTGTCGGACACGGGTGCTTACTCCCACCCTTTCTCTTTTCCTGGTAGATTACGAAGATATCAACAAGTCAGGGGAAGCAAGGGGTACAGTGGATATCTAGGATGCAGCTGGACGATCTGGATTTCGCAGACGATCTTGCCCTTCTAATCCAGATAACAACAAGTGCAAGAGAAGACGGCTAGTGTAGAAGCAGCCTCTGAAGCGTTAGGTCCGAACATGCACAAGGGAAATAGCGTAACTGTTCGTCAGTCAGTAAGCAACTTCGTACGTACGTACATCAGTTCAAGTTGCCATACCACGATTGCCCAGAGAAGCAATTGTCAATATAAATCCCTTAGAGGTAGAGGTAGTAGAACTATAAGTATTAATTGGAAAGATTAGGGTTCTAGAATATTGATCAAGGAGTACAATCCAATTAAATTAATTTGAGAGGAAGATAACTGTCATGAGGAACACAAAGAATGGATGCACTTGAGTCATTGAAAACTATTTTGAGCCATGTAGTTCAAGGTCTCTAACCGCCGGTTACTATTGTCTCACGGACCCAAACCACGTAGTTTACACCTACCTACATGGCCCGATTCACATACAGTTTAGCGCATGGTTTAGGGAGACCAGTAATTACGTTTTGTGAACTCAAAACATTTGCATTAGCGGCGAGAGGTGACAAAGGAATGAACGAAGGGATAGTCATGGAGATTAGGGAATTGTCAGGACGTGAAGGAAAGATTTGATTGTGACCGATTTGGTCTCGTGTGCTGTTGTTACGGGTGTGAAAGTGGATGTCACTTCCCGGCTGCCCACATTGTGGAAGGGTATTTCTTCAAGAACCTGAAAAGGGAGGTAGATTAGTGTTGGTCCTAGAGACCCGGGAGCGTGACCGCATAGCCCAAAGGACAAACTCTTGGAGGCAGGACACGAACAGCTTTTTTAAGAAAATTTTTTAGCGTGTTAGCTTCGCTCTTCAAGTGGCCTTACCACCAGAGACAGGAATCCGTGAGGTAAGTCGAGATGTGACAATTTTAGGGTCGGTCTTT